AAAAAAAAAAAAAAAGTAAAAAAACCAACAATTGACACCATTTTTTCCCCCCAGCACAGCAATGTACTGTACTGCGTACCATGGACAAGGGAGCGGGCCTGGCACTGCAACCAAGATGGATTACATGACGCTCAGAAATACAGTACAATTTACAATGAATGCTACACACCACGATGCCGCAGTACTGTATAACCACCATGCGTCCGTACAGGCTGTTTGTATTAACCAGAAAACCTGGGGTTGGTTGATGTCAAGATTGACATGACGGCTGCTTGTACCACTTGCACACACGCCATGCTCGCTTGTCATAATCTCAACTCCATTCCAGGGGTCCACCTTGATTGGCCGGCTCAGGCAAGGCCCGGTCCGCCAATCGCACACGTCGAACTACAGTCACGTGAGACAAAGCTCATGCGGAAGACCCCTGCGGGCTCGGGTAGGCTGCATGTCTCCCGCCTTCAGTCCCAATTTTACTCGGGTGCCGTGGCTTTAATAGTCGGGCCGCCATACCTTAATGAGACAGGCGAGGTTACCGTGTCATTTTATTGCCCGTCGACTTGCGACATTGATGTGAAGGGGGGGGGTCTATCAAAAGAAAGGAAAAGCAAAAAGAAAAAGAAAAGGAGAAGGAGAAACGAAAGCCACGTCCATGACCTGATCAATCATATTTTTCTTGATTTGGATCAAACTTGGCGTGTCCCAAACGTCTGGCTCCGGCTGCCGGGCCGCAAAAAGCACTGTATGTAGAACGCGAGTTTTCATTCAGATTTAGCGAGGGAGGCCAAAAATGAACAAGAAAAATAAAAATAAAAGCAACAAAACCACCAGTTTACATACCTGGGCCTTGTAAGGATTAACAGCAGTTGCAGTTGAGTCCATCCATCAAAGCCTGCCACGTCGCAATTTTACGGCGCGGCACGGTCGCTGGTCACCTTGCGCCATCCCGGGCTCCATGCATGTCATCCTACGCCGCCAACCAAGTAACTCCGTACCTATCCGTACTGTCTGTACATGCATCGTGGGTAGGTATGGAATGTACCGTACCTACGGCATCTGCTGTACAGTGCGAATATCTATACGGGGGTATGCACATGAGCCGATTTCTTTTCCAATACTGGAAGAGAACCCGCCGTCAGCCAGCCCCTTGTTGGGACCCCTGGTCGGCAGACAAGAATGTCCTTTCATTAATTAGGTATTCTTGTGCATCAATTCACGGCCTTTGCGGCGACTTGTTAAAAACATCTCATCTTATGACAAAATCTGATCCAAAAGCATTGGAACAAGATGCTTCCATCCACGGCGTCCCAGAACAAGACTGCAAAAAGCAAGTGCAATGCTGTGTACAGGTACTCGGTCTTGCGCACCACGAGACCTCGCCTCCATGCACGGCAGCCTGCAGGCTGAAGAGTGCGCGTTGGCCTTGCTTAGAGTACCATTTATTGTAAGGTGAGGCCGGCCCCCTTGCGCGAAAACACGCCCCAAATTCATGCTTGTTTGCTTTGTTGAGCGTACCCTACTACTCGACCTGAGAAGTGCGCTCTCAATATCTGCACAGCATATCCATAGTCGGAGCCAGCCCTCGTGGGTTTGAACCCACGCTTAGGGGCTCAACAGGTATCCGGTGCTACCAGATAGAAGGCAGTGCCGAATGCTGACGAGCTAGCGGTCACTGTAATTCTGAAATTGTTGGAACCTGAGCGCTGTGATATGACCATGGTGACGATATGGACGACAAGACTCATGCGGCGGCGATTCCTGTTCTCAAGTAACCTCCAAGTAAAGTCCTTGATTTAAGCTCAACATGACCATCTCGCTCACCTGCTTTGCTGTTAGCTACTCAGTTTTATTATAATGGTGTTGAAATTATCCCTTGCAGATTCGGCGATCAAGGCTGAGCATGATGAACCCCCCCGGGCTTTGTGCACACCAGGGCTCTATCTCTATCACTCGTGAAATCAACGCGCCGGTCGCTGTACGGATACGCAAACGACATATGTACGGCTACACCCGGATGTGACAATCTGGGTGGTTGCATTTACACAGGTACCGGTACTATTTGTGCCGTCCCATGCACCAACCGTTGGCGGACCGGCGCGCTCGTGCATCCGTAAGGATTATTCGCAACTTGATTGTGATCGGAGCCAGCCGTCACTGTCCTCATGGTGTCAGAAGAATTGGCCCCTAGAGGCACAAGAGACGAAATAATCTGGTCACTTTATGCTAGCTTAGACTAGCAGTTAGGCTACTTTATTATGGAAGCCTAAGCCTTAGAGGACAATTCTTCTGTTACCCACCTGACTGTATCCAGTCAACTGATTGAGTTATGGGCTGTAGAGAAGAGGACTGTGTTGCACAATTCATTACGTGACATGGAAGTTGAGAGATCTGATCGATATCCTATCGATTCCAGCTACGAATGGGTGCATGGTACAGACAGGTACAGCGCTTATGAAACCACCTACAACTACCTACCTCTAGGGCAGGGGCATGGTAATGGTTCTGTGTATTTTGTTTACAGTATCCGTACTCTCGGGGACTTCAGATGCGGGGCCATTTCTTTACCTCCAAGTTGGATCGCGGAGATATCCAATGCTCATAAGCCTGCGACACGACGTAACTGCCCGAAAACTCCCCGCTCCAGTTTGTATAAGATGGCCCAACTGGACAGACCACAGATCCAATGTTTGTCTAACAACCAAATTTGACTTTGTGAAACCACAATCCATCTCGCAAGAAGCACAAGTTTGTTTTTATGAGACAGCACCTATTTCTTGTCTTGCACAACTTGACCTCTATTGCATTTGGCACCAGCAACAATCTTGTTACAATGACTGATATCGTATCCGAGAACCAGGCTTACTTTGGGTAAGTAAAGACCTTTTTCACACTTCTGAGGGGGTTTGACCTGGCCATGGAGACCAGGACCGGTACACGGGCTTGATGCCATCATGTGCTGTGCTGTGCTGCGCGGTTCAGTACATTTAATCGCTAATGCGGTGCAATCGCAGCAAGATTGCCAGCCAGTACGACAAACGCAATGCCGACGCGATCGTGCATCTAGAGCGCCGTATCCAAGAGAGGATTCCGATGATTGGCTTCAAGCAAGGAGGCAGATTGCTGGACTACGCGTGTGGTACTGGCATGTTATCAAGGGTGAGCAGTTCTTCTATAAGAAAAGAAAAACGACTGTGATAACCGAGTACAAGCTAACAATGCGCTACAGGTGTTGGCACAGCATATAAATGAGGCTATTGGCATTGACCTTTCTGAGGATATGGTTGGTGTGTATAACGCTCAAGCTCAAGATCAAGTCAGTGACACCCTCCAACAGAGACTGCAAGGCCGTTGGCCTGTCTATCGCTGAGCACTCTGGACATATCCTAACAAGATGCAGGGCTCGTCTCGACAAGCCTATCAGGGCAACTTGGCTGATCCTACAGATGCCTCTCCTGCACCCTTCGCAGACGCCAAATTCTTCGGCTTTGACGTTGCAGGCGTAGGACTTGGATTTCATCACTTTGATAAGCCCGATCTGGCATCCAAAAGACTGGCTGAACGTCTCAAGCCTGGAGGTGTACTCTTCGTCATAGATTTTGTCGCTCACAAGATAGATCCCGAAGATGCTGCAAAGCGTGGTATCGCACACCATGGCTTCTCGGAGGAACAGATCAAGAATATGTTTGATGACGCTGGTCTTACGGACTTTGTTTACCAAGAGCTTCCGGAGCCCATTACGTTTAACGACCCGATGGGCCACGGACATGGACATGGACATGGTCACGGATCTGGTACTGGACATAATGGCGATCAAATGGGTGATAAACATGAGCATACAAAAGGGCATGGTCATGGGCATGGGCAGAACAAGAGTCATTCTATGACCAAACAAGTATTTATCGCTAGGGCATCAAAGCTCCAATGAGCTTATAGGTGTACCTATCCGATGCAATCAAAGGCGCTTAGTTTGGAGGACTCTGCAATCTAGCGATGTAATAGATCAGATAACACCTCAATACTATGTTTTCTCACTCAGTGGGCTTAGAGGTTCAGCTACTGCGGTAGTATTCTACCTGGTTAGGGCCAGTCCAACGATTTGATACCCTCGTAAAAGCCTAGCACTGTACCCTACAATGCAAGTGGCAGTATATTGTCCTCAAATTGCCAATGTGTAGGGAAACTGACGCCTCGTGCGATCACCTGTGTACATGACAGTACATCACCTGGCACTGGAATGACATCTGCACTCAATCTCGTATCTCAAACCCAATTGCAATCCAGAAACGGACTAACTTGATCTGAAGTCCGGTCATGGTATGGAAATACGGACGTTTATGCTTGGAGGCTACTGCCAGTCCGGCGGGTGTTGTACAGCTCTTGCTCTGCTAAGTTGCAGTACATAGACCCAAGTCGATATCTGAATAACCTCACTTCTGAGTAGCTCCGTGGCACACCCATCCCCCAGCTTGCACGTCCCGTTCCGCTCTTACACTCTGCCGAAAAAAGTTTGTTCATGATGCGGCGTGCGAACACTCTTCATCCGGCAATAGCCAAGACACTTTTGCTATCGAGGGATGTGATGAACTAAGCTTGGCACATTACTCTGCGTGAGCTATGCGAAATTAGACATGACGTCTTAGAGGTGAGAGGATGGACTTTAGAAGGAGGGAGGCACTGGCTCGTCCGGTGCGGCGCGATCCGGTGTCTGGGAATGAGGGAGAGATGTCATGTGCGTGCCGCTCTTTTCAGCCTCATCCGTGCTTCCAGAACGCCCACTCACGGGGGCGACTGAGTTGCGCGACGAGGCGTTGTGCTATCATAGCGTTTTGCTACACGCCCGTCATTACAGAGGCATGCGGGTTGATATTGGTAAATAAAGGGCGGATGTGAAACACATTCGTTGAAGGCGGTCACACCGAACGGAGGTTTAGTCATTTTCGTCAAGAACGCCAGCGCAAGTACAGTACAGTAGGCCCTTTATCTTGAGACCTAGCGTTGCCTGTGCGAGGCCAGCTTCGATTCTTGAAACATTTGTTGGTGGTGGAATAACTGAGGTAATGTTATCTTATGTTAGGGTCTGATCGTTAGGAGATTAGGTATTGCCATCTCCGGACTAGATTGACTTGGCTTACGCTTGGTGCTGACGATCTCAAAGGAAACATATCATTAAACAACTGGCTCTATAGTCTAGTAATCTATCAATTGTTAGGGCTTTGAGGTGACTAATTATCTTGGCCGTCAAGTTCAACGACAAAGGCACCACCCAGCAAGAGAGCTGGCTCTTCAATTCTATGATGCTCATAGCTATAGCAGCGTTAGCTGAAGCAACAGGTTCAAAATGACCATGCTGTAACTTACCTCAAGGTCCCGACACCTCCTGCTTCCAGCAAAAAGGTTGGGCCTTCGTGTAAAGCGTAGCCGGCCCATCTCATGGCGAAAGCACGGAGGATGTGTCCATGAGCGACAAGTAAGACGTCGCCACACTGGTCACTTCCCTTATCCATAGCTGGCTTATGCCATTTCTCCCGAATCTCTTCGATCAACTGGTCGATTCTTCTGGTGACGTCGTTTGGACTCCTGGTTGGAGTGTCAGTCTTGGAAAATTCATTGCTGAAAGATATAATACTGGTATAGGGTAAATCGCATGGTGTCGTACTTACTCTCCGCCGGGGCAGCCGTCCTTCCAAATATCCCAGGACCCTTTGATTCCCTGTTCGGCTCTGATCTTGCGAATATCAGGGGATGTAATGCCTTCATAATCACCATAATCCCATTCCCGGATATATTCAGTCACTTCAACCTCAGCTTCACACTGGAGACCGGTACCATTGGGGGCGCCATGTGGTGTCCACGGAAGAGGACGGTTCAGCCCAAGATTGAGCAGCTCAAACGTGCGTTGAGCACGTCTCCGGGGAGACACATATCTGTAAGACATATCAGCTTTGTCATAGACAGAGTGACGATGTTGAAGGCAATGGATAAGTGGTACGACCAACGAAGCGCATCTATAAGCTGAAGAAACGTATTGACAAGACCAGGATCCAGATAAGAAGTACTTCACCAACACACCAGAGCACCGATGCTTGCTGTAATGGAAATAGGAAAAAAAGTAAGGGAGAGTGACTCACATATGAGCGATCTTCTTTGGAGCAATAAGACGATCTGGGCCAACAAGAGCCTTTCCAGTTGCTCTTACGCGCTTCTCACCGTTGGCAGTCAGAGGAATATCAGTCAAACCAGTATGGCGACCATCAAGCGACCACTCCGTCTCACCATGGCGAACAAGGAAAACGCGAGGCGTCGACATGATTTAGTGCTGAGCGATTGGGTTGAATGGCTCACTCGAAGCTTGACCAGAAGAACAGTGAGAAAACGCTCCGGGTTGTGCGGAACCGTCTGACAAGGCCTTGATTGGGTTAATATGATTCTTCAAATCAAGGGTAGGAAGATGATCTGACGGTAATATGGCCTGAGATGGAGGGATTAAACGAACCACGCTCGAAGGTTCAAGAGTCGGAAGATGACGTTGATCAAAGCAGAAGAGAGGGCGTGCTATTGCTCGTGCACATGAAAATTGTGTCAAAGATTGAGACTTGTACGAAAAGAGGACCAAGAAGAGACCAAAAAAAAAAAAAAAAAA